CTTCATCAGATTCTGTCATGTCATCACCATTGATGTTCTCGTCAGCATCATCATCACTTCTCTGGCCGTCCACAAATGATGCACCGTTGTGCAAATACCTACCATCTTCCTGTATAACCATGTCCAGTACATGAGCATTTGAGGAGTTCCCTGCATTCACACCTCCATTGACATAATGCCTAGATACAACAACATTTGATGTTGATGGAGTACCATAAGCGTCACATATGGATTCCTCAATGTATATCTCCAGCGTGGACATGTCCTCCATCTGAACTATGCCCCACATATTAGTTATAGCTAGCTCATCAATGAGGGGCATAAGCATGTACTTTCCCCTGTTCATAGGAAATTTCATTTTCAAATGCAACTAAAGGCTAGGATGAATCATTGTGGCTGCATGTATTTTTTGAAGGATCTCGAGCATGCAAGCACCACAAGAAACCATGACAAAGCTGGTTCTACCACCTTCATGTCATATTTGCCCAACATCCTCATAGCAGTTCCCTCCCCAATGACACACGATTGGGAAGCTTGAGAAATCCATATTCTAATAACAATTCATTGTCCAACTTTCATGAGTAGACATCAATATACACACTTTATACACATTCAAATTTTCAATAGAAAAAACTACCAAAATTCTAATATATCCAAAAGTCAAAATTCACAAACAATTCATATTTCAATATGAAAATACCCAAATTTTGATATCTACATTCAAGTCTTTATTTCAATACCCAAATTTAGCTACATTCAAATCTACCCAAATGCCCAAATGTCAAAATACACATTAAAATTTACAATCAATTTAAAATCAAATTTCAACATTTCATACATATCCACAATTCACAACAACTCAATTCACAATAAACTCATAATCTAAAAATTCGAAAATTTTAACATTCAAAACCCTAAGTTCAAAATGAGATTAAATGGAGTTTGATTTACCTACAAGAAAGAAGAAAGATGGTTGAAGATGGAGATGGAGGTTCGCCGGAATGGGGTCGCCGGAGATGGAGGTTCGCCGGAGTTGGAGATGGTTGTCGTCGTTCGACGCTGCAGCTTAGCTCGATTTGGGAATTTGGTTAACGCGTTCTGTTCTATGGTTGTGTGCGATGATTTTACTTAACGGTAAGTCGCCCAACGGTTGGGCGACTTATAAGTCGCCATCCGGTTTGGCGACTTATAAGTCGCCCAACCGTTGGGCGACTTACCCCGACCATGGTTAACCCAGTAGTATATTGGTAAATACTTTTAACCCAACCCTATTTTCGTAATTATTTAATTAATTAACATTAACACGGAAAAAACTCATTATTTAAACGTCCTTTGCTTATAAAATCCAGAAAAAGGAAAAGTGAAGTGCAAGTAAACTGTAAAGGACATTGGTGTCTTATTTCGTTCATCATGTGTCGCAGTTTAGTTCCATGATTTGCAGGTCGATTTTTGAATGATTGATTTGGTAATGGAAAAGGAGCAAATATATATTCTTAATGTTTAGGACATGTACAAATATGCATTAAAGTTTTAGAAGGTGATAACGGGAGTGAGGAAAAACAGTGAGGCAGAAAGCAATGAATCAAATATTTTATTTTAATAAATTGTAGCAGCAAATTAAACTCATACAATCACACTTCATAAAAGTGGAGAAGCAACATAAATAGCTAAGTAATAGGAGCAACACTGCATAACTAAACTAGCAACTACTCCACGATCTTATAGCACCTCGATGTGAATCGTAGAGCGCAGCTTTAAATGTGGACACATTTACTTCAATAGGCGATTGATGATGATGTGGACTGACTTGGCATAATAGACTGCTAAATTAAAATTTCTTCTCCAATGCAACCGTGAGTTTTCATTTATTCATCCCCCAAATATACACTTTCAGTGTTGTTTTTCACAATCTTCTTTTGACTTTCTTTATTACGGGAAACAAGTCCGAATGTACGGCCAGCATGGAAGAGGCGTATCTCAAAATTTTCATTTACTCATTCCCCAAATAGTTGAACCATAAACCCTCTTTGGTTGGAGGGTTTTGGAGGGGAGGGGAGGGAAGTGTGTGTTTGGTTGAAGGAAATAGGGGGGAAGAAGAGGAAAGTGGAAGACTTCCAAAATCCTCCACTTCCTCTCGTGATCAACCCCCAAATCGAGGTATTTCGAAGGAAACATGTGTTGATAACTACTAACTATCCATCTCCTATGTGAATGGACAAAACGTTAGAATATAAAAAAGGTAAAAAAATAAAAAATCCAAAAAAATAAAAAATTCAAAAATTCAAAAATTCAAAAAATTTTAAAAAAATAATTAAAAAAATATAAAAAAATTAAAAATTTAAAATTTTAAAATTTTAATTTTTAATAGATAATTAAAAAATAAAATATTTAAAAAATTAAAAATTTTAAAAAATTAAAAATTTAAAAATTTTAAATTTTAAATTTTGTTCCATGCAGAGGATGTTTGGTACTTTGATCATATTGTGATTACCATAGGCATGTGATTTGGTATTTTAATCAATCTGTGATGAGCATATGCCTGTGATCTGGTACTTTGATCAATCTGTGATGAGCATAAAGAATGTCTCCCAGTTTTTGTGTGTGGAGTGTATGCTGTAATAGTAGTTGTACATAAGGTCTAGTATGATGTTATTGTACCAAAAAGATGAAATAATTATGACCATTGGTAGTTCAGTATGCTTATACTATTTCAAAATGTCTGAGTATGCTTCTACTTGTACAAAAGGTCTGAGTATGCTTCTACTAATACAAAAGGTCTGAGCATGTTTGTACTACTTCTAAATGTCTGACTGTCCTTGAAGTAGTACAAAAGGGATGCCTATTCTTCTATCCTTAACAATTAAGGCCTGTACAAAAAACAAAAAATTTAAGGCCTGTACTGTTGAACCCAAAATCCCAAAATATGGCAGTACATGTACTTCATCATTGAAGATGATGATCATCATCATTATCTTCAATTATGAAGTTCCCCTGACTTTCAGTACCCCCTGCTTCTTGCCCTACAATCTGTTCTGTTGCTTACAAAAGTTCAACATCTACCTCAATTGTTATCGGAAGTCTCCCTTCTGACTGCATCCTATCCTTTGCATTGTGTGGTAGCTTGTAGTTGTTCCCTCCCTACACTTTCATTAATTCAATCATAACATACTGATAACTTAGCCATACTTTGTTGAGAGTCATAGGTGATATAGTTGTTTGAATGCTTCATCAATTGCCTGTAACAGTTCATCAACTATCTTAGGTGCATTCTGGTCTTTCAAAGATTGTATTGTCCTAAAAAACCTAGGTCTAGGATGTTAAAGTCTGGAGAATTGGGTGGCTGGTTAGTAAAGGTGATACTAAACCCATCAACCATGGAAGCAGTCATATACTCTGCATCAATATGTGAAATGTGTGGCCTTGCATTGTCTTGTTGTATTATGATTTCTTTGTTGTATTATGATTTCTTTGTTTAACTGTGGAGGCTATTTTTCCTTGATTGCTGGGATGACTGTGTTGATGAACATGTCCTTGAACACTTTCTTTGTTATGCTAAGGATAGGTTTGATTTCCATCACACTTGCATCTCTTTTTTTACTTCTTCTTTTTGCTGCAACCTATTCAACAAATGGAAACATGCATATTTTTCCATCCCAAATGACCCACCACTTTCTAAAAATAGGAGCCTACCCACTGCACATAGGGACATTACCTTAGTTATGAACCTCTTATATTTGCATACTCTGTGTGGATCTGTCTCTTCCAACCCCATGTATAATTTTTGAGAAGTTTTTGTCATAAAAAACCATTTTTCATCAATGTGAATCACATTCTGAAATGTTTGAAAAGTAGGCTTCTGTGGCAGTGACTTCTCTACCTGCCTAAGACAGAACTTCAGCCTTTGCAATTTATTTGTATCACTTATAAATGACTTTATTGCATTTGTATGCCTTTTGAGCTTATCTCTGTGAATCAATCCGTGGACACTAGACTTTGATATTGAGGTGGCAGCTGCTCAATAGATATGTTAGTCCTTTTATGCAGTGAGATCTGTGATATGTGAGATAGATCAAATTCTATCTTTTTTCTGCCGGATTTACCACCCGACTTCCTACGCACATCTACCGCATCACCTTTTACAACTTGCTTTATAACTGTCTCCCAAATGCCATATATAATTCTTCTGGACACTTCAAGTTGTTTAGCAAGTATAACAAAAACACCTTTCTGAGCTTTCAATTCCCCCCAAAAATCCCTACAACTGCTATTCTATCCTTTTTCAGTGTTTGAAAGCCTTTTTTTCACACTGCATCACCCTCACCATCTCTTAGTACTATTTCCAGGTCTAGGGCTCCTGGTGTGGAAGAAGCAGAAGGAAGTGTGGACGATGAAGAAAATGTGGAAGAAGCAGCTGTGGAAGATCCCCTAAGTGTAGAAGCTGCCATTTTTTTCCAGAGTGCGTGTGTATGTGTGGAATGTATGATGTAATTGAGGAGGGAGGAGTATATGTAATGAACTAAAAGTTGAACTCCCTCCTTTTTTTTGGCCTTGCCGCCTAACTTATGCAGATTTTGCATTTGGATGAATAGTGTTTACTATTCACATGTCAATCATATCTACTTTTAATCATTTCTATCCTACTTAAACTTTTTACCTCTCCTTTTATCTCTTTCTTTACCACATCTTTACCCCATTCGGCCAATTTTTATTTTACTAAATTGTAGTTTTGGAAGTATAGTATGTATTCTAAGTATTCAGTTTTCCTTTTCCCTTTGTTCTATTTTTGAGACCTCGCTAAATTTCTACATAAATTTGCATAAATTTGCGATACCGGTCAAAATCGGAAGAATTTTCCGGAACGGAGAGTATGTATTAATATAGTACTTATAATGGTTTGGTACCTTTTTTTTTCAAAATTTAAGATCCGTTCAATTATGCTTTTTTTTTTTTTGAAATTAGAACTGGACCCTAACCCGCCCCTACCTGATTCGCGGTTACAGTATCCATTTGCCCATCCTAGTGCCTGGTACCTGGGGATATTTCTGGGTTAACTCATCCACGCCCACGAACGGTTGAAGTGTCTAACGTCCCTCCAAGTTGCCAACTCCCTTCAGCAGGCGCCGACCCTGCAGCACCAGCACTACGCTTGGCGCTACCACGGCAGCACGACTTGTCAGTTGCACCCATTGGCCTCACGCCGGTCGCCCAGTCCCCTGCACTCCTCCTCTCTCCCTTGGCGGTTCGGCCCTTCTCAGGTTTCACTTTCCGGCCTTCCCTTGTTCTGGTATTCCTCCAGTCCTGTTATATTGATTTGTTCATTAATTGATTTAATTCATGCTCTGTAGTTGTTCCTAAATATTTAGATAAATTAGTGATATTGTTGTTTGTTGAAACATAAGCAAACTCTGAGAATTAAATTCTCTTGAAAGCTACTTTTCGACCAAATAATAAAACAACATCTTGTGTGATTTTATATTTAAAAATGAGGCGTTTTTCATGTAGCAAATTAGATCCTTGGAGCTCTATGAAGATAAAGATTTGAAAAAAAAAGTTTTGCATTGAAATCTTGAAATTTGAAAAGAGGTATTGCTTTCTCAAAGAAAGGTCAATTTTTGCAAGATCAATTGTATAAACATGAAGTTGAAGCTAAAAGCTACTTTGCCCTGTGCTTTCAGTAGTTAAACACATTGCATATACTACGTATTTCCCTTATTTGTATACACCTTATTATATAATTTATTTCTGTATAGGCAATCATTCATTACAAAGTTGTTTCACACAAACACAAAAATCTATAATTCAAGTGCTCTTAAATGAATGACCTGAAAATTGATGGCACAAATGTTGTAAGCAGAATCTTTAATAATCAGTGTAGAGATGAAATTTGCAGCCCTCATTTTCCAACGTTGTGTCTTACAAATTCAAAATATTTTGGAGCTGGTAATGACATTCTTACCTGCACACCATTTGATACTGCGGTATCTATTTCTTTCTGGTAGACATCTTGAAAGAAATGCAGGCAACAAATGATTATGCAAATATCTCTTTAACAAAATGATAAAACGGTGCTAGTTTTTTTCCCCAAACATTCTAGAAGAAACTCAAGGGTAATGCACTTGTTAGCATACACACACCTTAAAGAAAATAGCATTGCAATCTTTACTACCTAATCCCACTTGCATAAATGAGTATGCATTTTGGAGGTGCTGTGCTATTTATTCTTATCCAGTGGACGTAGATGCACCTATTTATACGAACAACACTCTTATATCGGCAGACCACTTATTTGCAATTACGAAGTCTTGAGAAGTTCAAGAATCAATTTACATGATTCAATGTTGCAGACTACTAATCTTCTTCAATATGTAAAAGATCGTGAGTTTAATAATTGTTTAATTACTATTGTCAAAAAGACGGTTCCACTTCTCCATTAAAGGATTCTAGAATATATCATTGAAGTGTATCATTCAAGTGATCCGGCAAAAATTACTTACAAAAAGTGGGGCCACTCTAAAGGGGAATTAATCAATTGCATGACTGGTTAAGTGATCCGGTAAAAAATTAATTACAAAAGGTTGTGCACTTCCCGCCCAAATGACCTCAGGCTATTCTGTTTTTATATATTATATAGATAATATAGATAAATTTGCTAGTCTTCGAGCGGAAACGGACGTGGCCAAAACATAGGTGACACATCGGTCGGTCCTAGAAATGGCGGCATCAGCGCGATTCTAATTTCTAACTCATCTATATGACAGGGAGCTCCACCGCTACTAGCTTTCACTAAGAAACTGGAGACTGAAATTCTTTAAAAATCCATAGACTTCTATGATATAGAATTCCACAGGAATCTACAACAATCGAATGGAGTCTATGGAATTCTATTAGAATTCGTAGAATTTAAAATCACTCAGGGACACCCCCTTAATCGACGGTGAAGTCCTGACTCTTGAAGCAAGAAGGAAGAGCCAACACACAACTCTTTTCACATTTGCATTCAGAATATGGCAATTGACTGTCTAATTTTAGGTTAGTAAATTTTCAGGCCCTCATCGATATTTGTCTACATCGTGTTTGACATAATGAATATTGTAGTGAAATTAATGACCGAGGCAAAACATATTTCAGGGGCAGGCCAAGAGGTGGGGAAGAGTTGCGTGGTGGTGACTATGAATGGAAAGAGGATAATGTTTGACTGTGGCATGCACATGGGCTTTTTGGATCGTCGCCGCTATCCCGACTTCTCTCTAATCTCTCAGTCTGGAGATTTCACTAGTGCCCTATCTTGCATCATTATCACCCATTTGTATGGTTATTTGTCTTAACTATTTTTGTCTATTTATACCCGATTTCAGATTTTGAGGTGTGCATGCATTTTTGTAGTATAGCAATATAGTGGGTGAATTAATTTCAACTATCCGTGCAGCCACTTGGATCATATAGGAGCTCTTCCATATTTCACTGAAGTTTGTGGATATAATGGTCCCATATACATGACGGTAATATCCCTCCAACGCTGTATGCAAATGCATAAATAATCACGCTGGGCTGTTTGGTTGTAATGCACAATGAAAGCATTCCGTCTCATTTCTTTGTGGGTTGTTAGGAATATTGTACATATTGGTATTGTAATAAGTCTTGATATAGTTTTTTATAGAGCCGTATAGTTGTTATACCTGCTTGGAGTCTGTTATGAGTTAGTTGAAGTCTTGGTGACTATAAATACCTGCAGTACTCTATAATCAATAAGATGATTTCATTTCTGTTTCTATATCTTTCTAATATGGTATCAGAGCTCTAAGCTCGTTCTTCCATGACGATCTCAACCTCTGATTCAGTTTCTTCTCAAACCCCAAAAATCACTTCCGCACCAATCACCTTCAATCATCCTCTTCCTATTAAGCTTGATTTGCACAACTTTCTTCTGTGGAAACATCATGTCAGATCTGTTATCCGCGCTCACAAATTGCTCAAATTCATTGAGCAACCTGAAATTCCTGACAGATTCATAGCCGACGAGGAAGAAGGTACGAAAATTGAGAATGATGCCTTACATCAATTGGGAGCAGCAAGATCAGATGCTGTTTTCATGGCTCTTAGCGTCTCTCTCTGAAAATATGCACACTCGAGTGATTCACTGTCAACAATCGCATCAACTCTGGAGCGAGATCGACAAATATTTTCAGGCAACCATTGTCGCTAGAGCTAGACAGCTCAAGTCCGAACTATACTCAACCGGAAAAGGTGATCGATCCATTTCCGAGTACCTTCTTCGCATTCAACATATTGTTGATAATCTGATGAACATTGGCGAACCTATTTCTACCAAGGAACATGTCAACGTAATTCTCGAAGGGCTTCCAGAGGAGTATGAATCACTTGTTTCCTCTGTGTCATCTCGAAGCATACTGGACCCTATCACTATTACAGAACTTGAATCCCTAATGCTAGCAACTCAGAGATTCTTCTTCACAAACGCTGTTTTCTGCTAATACAGCCAGTACTGAAGCTCCGCCTCCAAATTCAGCAGTTATTTCTTCAACACCTACAGAAATTCCTTCTGCAAATATTGCTCAGTATCAGAATCAATCTTCTAACCCTCCTTACAGGGGACGTGGTCGAGGAAACTCCAATAGAGGACGTGGTGGCCGATATGGAGGTCGGAACACCATTACCTGTTAAGTTTGTGGGAAGTCTGGTCATAATGCCCTAAACTGCTATCATAGGTATAATCCTGCATATGCTGCTCCTCTTCCAAACTACTCTAACCCTAATCCTGCACCTCCAACTATCTGGAATCAACAATCACCATCCTCTTCTATAAACACCTATCCAAACCAACAAACTGTCTACTCTAACTACCCAAATCATATATGGAATCATCAATCTCCTCAACTACCTTCCTTCAGACCACACGCCTACCCTTCAGAATCTGCCAGCTACAATCAACAACCTCTAAACCATGTTCCAACTGCAACTGTGGCATCTATTCATTCATCTGTGCTTGGACGAGGGCCCTCATCTCAGCATTGGTTCCCTGATTCAGGAGCCACTCATCATGTGACTGCAGACCCACTGAATCTTCAACACAGTGAGCCCTATGCTTCAACTGATAAGCTTTTTATGGGTAATGGACAAAGTGTGGATATACAGTCTATTGGTTACTCTTCCTTTCCCTCTCCTTATCATTCTTCCACACTTCTTTCACTAAATAACATTCTGCTTGTACCTTACATTACCAAGAACCTTTTAAGTGCAAGTCAATTTGCCAAAGACAACAAGGTTTTCTTTGAGTTCTTTCCTCATGATTGCTTTGTGAAATCACAGGTTTCTAGGAAGGTTTTATTGCATGGAACCCTTGGTGAGGATGGTCATTACAAATTTCAAATCTCACCTGCTATTGGTTCATCCAAGTCTGTCCCAGTTCCATACTCCTCTCAGTCTGCCAACATGTCTTCCTGTTTATCTACCTGTAATCAGTCACTATCATGTAATAAATCTCAGTCTTATAGTCAAACATCTGATTGTAATGTGTGGCACTTAAGACTAGGACATCCTCATCTTGAGGCTTTGAAATCTGTACTCAAATATTGTAATATTCCCACAATTAATAAAAATCATGTTGAGTTTTGTTCTGCTTGTTGTCTTGGCAAAGCACACAGACTACCTTCACACACATCAATCACTCAATTTCATTCTCCTTTTGAGCTCATATTCACTGATTTATGGGGACCAGCTCCAATGTTATCATTTGATGGCTACTCTTATTACATTGCCTTCATAGATGCATTCACAAGATACACTTGGATTTATTTCCTTAAAAAGAAATCTGATGCACTCACAGCTTTTCAAAATTTCCATCAATATGTCCTTACTCAATTTTCTGCATCCATTAAATCTGTCCAGTCAGATTGGGATTTGGGGGGGGGGGGGGGGTGAATTCAGGTCCTTCACTCAATTTCTCACAGAAAAAGGAATCACACACAGAGTTATATGTCCCCACACACACCATCAAAATGGTGTTGTGGAAAGGAAACATCGTTCAATAGTTGAAAAAGGACTTTCACTTCTTGCTCACTCCTCTTTACCTTTTAAATTCTGGGACACTGCATTTGCTACTGCTGTCCATCTCATTAACAGAACACCTTCCAAGTCCATTCACAATCTCAGTCCTTATTTCAAACTTTTTGGATCTCAACCAGATTATTTCTTTCTCAAAGTGTTTGGTTGTTCATGTTATCCCTTCTTAAGGCCTTACAATAAACACAAAATGGATTTCCTCTCTGAAGAATGTATCTTTCTAGGCTATTCCTCTCGGCATAAAGGTTATAAGTGCCTATCTTCATCTGGCAGGATCTACATCTCCAAAGATTTCATCTTTAATGAGTCCAAATTTCCTTATTCAAGCCTTTTTCCATCTGAAAATAACAGTTCAAACTACACTTCCTCCATAACAACTGCTCCTATCACTGTCCTTTCTTCACCCTCCTCAAACCCACCCACCACTTCTTCCTCTTCACAATCTTCACCATCACAGACCTCCAATAATCAGAATTCTCATCATTCCTCCAATACTCAGAACACTCAGCATTCTCATCATTCTTCTAACAATCAGAATAATTATCATCTTTCTAACACTCACAACTCTCAGAATTCTACACTCCCACCTATTCAATTTGGTCAACCTTCACCTACAGGTTCATCCTCTTCTGATACATCATCTCCCTCTACTCATTCCCCATCACCTCCCCCTATTACTAACACTCATCCTATGACCACTAGAGCCAAATCTGGAATTGTAAAACCAAGACTAGAGTTGCTGAATAGTCCAGTGATGGGAAACTGCAAGTGTAAGAAGTTAAACTTCCCTGATCAGCATCACCTCCCCCTATTACTAACACTCATCCTATGACCACCAAGAGATGATATTAGACCTTCTTGCCTGCAAACTACACAAGTCACTTTATGGGCTTAAACAAGCTCCAAGAGCTTGGTTTCAGAAACTTACTTCTGTCTTATATCAGGCTGGTTTCAAACAGAGCAAGTGTGATCCCTCTCTTCTCATCTATCAGAATTCTGGAACCCAAATCTACATTCTTATTTATGTTGATGACATCCTGGTCATTGGTAATAAATCTACTGCTGTTCAACACCTTATCCAGAAACTGCACTCCTCATTTTCTCTAAAGAATCTAGGGGAAATTGATTACTTCCTAGGGATAGAAGTTAGAAAGCTTCCAGATGGAAGTCTTCATCTATCTCAAACTAAATACATTAGAGACCTACTTCATCAAGTTGGCATGTCAGATTCAAAAGGAGTTAAAACTCCTATGGTTAACAGTTGCAAGCTTACCAATCAAGGAAGTGAACCATTATCTGATTCTTCTACCTACAGATCTATTGTTGGAACATTGCAGTATGCTACTTTAACAAGACCTGAAATAAGTTTTGCAGTAAACAAGGTTTGCCAGTTCATGGCTACACCTACACAAGAGCATTGGAAAGCTGTCAAACATATTCTAAGATATCTTTCTGGCACCATCACTCATGGCATCATCATCAAACCTATTTCACTAAGTGGCCTCTCTCTACCCATTTCAGCCTTCTGTGATGCTGATTGGGCCTCTGATCCAGTTGACAGAAGGTCTACATCCGGGTCTTGCATTTTTCTTGGATCTAATATCATCTCTTGGTGGTCCAAGAAGCAGCAGCGTGTTGCCAGATCCTCAGCAGAAGCTGAGTACAGGAGTCTAGCAGATACCACATCTGAGTTGCTATGGGTTCAATTCTTGCTTCAGGAACTTCAAATTCCACTTCAGACTCCCAGAGTGTACTGTGATAATCTCAGAACAGTACAACTAGCTCATAATCCAGTTCTTCACTCTCGAATAAAACACATGGAAATTGATCTCTTCTTTGTAAGAGAAAAGGTTTAGTCCAAGCAGCTTGCAGTGTATCATATTCCAGCTATCCATCAAGTGGCTGATATTCTCACAAAGCCATTATCAGCCTCCTCTTTTCTTGATTTAAGAACCAAACTTAGTGTGATTGAATGTCCAAATCAATCAGCCTAAGTTTGAGGGGGGAATGTTAGGAATATTGTACATATTGGTATTGTAATAAGTCTTGATATAGTTTGTTATAGAGCCGTATAGTTGTTATAGCTGCTTGGAGTCTGTTATGAGTTAGTTGAAGTCTTGGTGACTATAAATACCTGTACTACTCTCTATAATCAATAAGATGATTTTATTTCTGTTTCTATATCTTTCTAATATGGGTAAATTAATGGCTCAACAGTATCCCACAAAAGCCCTGGGTCCGCTAATGCTTGAAGATTACCGGAAAGTAATGGTTGATAGGAGGGGAGAGGAAGAGCAATTTACTGCAGAACACATTGTGGAATGCATGAATAAAGGTACTGTCTTTTCTTATTTATGAATTCCAAGTACTTATCGTTCTTGTGACAAAGCTGTTCTATTACAAAGCTTCACACTTCTATAATGATTTCATTCATGCAATCTGCGGATCTGCATATCTGCTCAAGTTGAATTCCTGTGTTGAAAAGTATGTTCTTTTAGTAAAACTAAGCAATATCAAATACAAAGTGTTGTATGATTAAATTAATAAGTGGACTTCATAAAATAGTCATATAGCTACCGAAGTGTATATGAAGCATCAAATACTCTTCTTATCCATATTTTTTTTCTGCACAACTGCACTTGTGACCCTGATATGGGGTGCATGCACACATAGATTTTTACTGCATACTCAAATTTGTATACAGTTATAGCAGTGGATCTGAAGCAGACTGTGCAAGTTGACGACAATCTACAGATTCGAGCATACTATGCGGGGCATGTAAGGAGTTAAACTTAACATGTTTATATATTCTGTTGACTTCAAGGTTTTCCATTATCTACATCCTAGAAGTAAAGTTTCAGCAGTGGCTGCAGTGTTGGCTATCTAGAGACTTAAGGCACACTTTTTTATGCATCATCTCATTTCAAGCTGATCTACCTTGGATGTTATTTGAGTGAATTAGGGAAATACGATAGAAGTAAGGACTCATGCAGTCATGCACAAATATAAAGGGTATGCACACATTTTCTTTTTCTTCGATACCCTTTACAAAGCTATAAAGGATTGGTTTTGCTGATCAAAGTGAATCAGGATATTAAACTGCAAGTCTGCAACAAGGTAAATACTTCATGAGTATCCTTTTTGGGTTCGTGAGCCCACACCAAGGATGTTACGGCATTGCCTAGGCGTCCTGGCGATGGTAAGGGTCGACAGGGAAGATCGACTCGTCTGAGGAAGATCAGGTGCCTCTGGCGTCATCCAGGTGCCGTCCAGGCGTCATGCTAGAGAGTGTTAAAAATCAGTAAATACATTTTTAGAAGCCTGGCCCAAAAAAAGATTTGGAAAGTAGAAGTTTAGAAACTAATTTAATTAAAAATAAAGGAACCCAAGCCTTCTGATTTCTCAAACAGTTAAACTTGAAACTCGATGGGCATCGTCGAATCTGAAACTCGAAATTCGAATGACAATCGTCGACTCCTAAACTCAAAACATCACTAGTTACTATTTCCTCTGCAGCAGTGCTGCATGCCTGTGTCGCAACTCGCAAGGTTGAAGACGACCTGCAGCACCTGCTCTTCCACTTTTATCAGTATATTACTGATAATGTTTACTAATACATAATTACATATAATTACAGTCAAAGTTGTGTGTTGGCAAACGTGAAAGTCAAACTGTTGCAAGAATTAAAGAACGGAGGATAGTATACACTATATACATAGTTTTAATATGGTCAGTTAGTAACTTAGTAACTCATACTTCACAGACACACACACATATTTAATACATATGTTGCGATTAGTTGCCTAATTCTTGCCTAGGCGGGCACTTAATTGCCTAGGCGATAAGGCGGTCAGCTGGTGCCACGACTCGCCTTACCACCATGACACCATGGCCCACAAAGAGTAATTACTTCAAGTCTTGCTTTTTTTAGGCCGCATAGTAGTACTGTCTTTGTACTCTGATTGGAAAACATGTTTCTAGGTCCTTGGAGCAGCAATGTTCTATGCTAAGGTAGGAGATGCCACTATGGTATATACAGGGGACTACAACATGACACCTGATAGACATCTTGGGTCTGCCCAAATTGACCGTCTGCCGTTGGACCTTGTTATAACTGAGTATGTTATGCTGCTTCCCTTCACATTTGTAATTGTAATTCTGTATAGTCAATCACATTCGCTTTGGTAGTTTGGTAGTATATATTTCCTAGGAGCTCTTCCATATATAACTTTAAAGCAATGAACATTGATATGACTTGCCCTCCCTGCAGAAGTGGGTTTAGGTTTCCTTTGCTTTAGTAACACTAACATCATATTGATAGTAAAAATAATTACTTATACTCCCTTTAGAGTGGATAGACCGGTGGAGATGAAATTGGTAGAGTTTAGGCAGTGAAATTTGTGTTCGGTTCGGAAGACGTGAGTGTTAAATGACACTGACATTTGAAAATGTCACCAATAACGATAAAAATTGGATATCGCGCCAAATCAATTCAGCATCCAGAATTTCAAAATCTATGTTGGCCTATTATTCAAAATATGAAGGAATGAAGTTTGTTCCAAAACAAGTTAGTTGAAGCTTGATTTAATATTCTACTAAAAAGTACAACAATCCAAATAGAATCATATTTGTATGTATTTGTCCTGAGTGGTGGATTGAGAATATGTCATTTTGAATCCAATCTGTAAACTTTTGTGATTGGAAAATCCTAATCATCTTTTAATTTAGTCCGAAAGATTGGATTCTTTCATAGTTTCACATGTTTTTTGCTCACTAGTCACCCTATTTTTTGTTGTATTGAGCATTCTTTTGACTACCATGGACACTAAGGAGATCCCGGTCGGTTATATGCCCCATTACCTGGCTTCATAATTCAAAAGGACAGTGAATTAGATGGAGATGCATCTCATAGAAATAAAACGTGGTGGATGAAATGGAAGAGTGCGTCAAAGCTTCTATGTGATTGAGATATGTCGACTAGTTTGAAGGGTAAGTTGTATCAAATTTCCATTACACCTACATTAATGAATGGTGTAGAGTGTTGGACGATGAAACAAAGTACATTGAAAAGGTAAATTTGATTAAAATGCACATGTTTTCATGTCGCGTTGAATGTGTGAACATACTAGAAAATACCGCTCGTGAAATGAGACAGTCAAGCAAAAGTGGAGGTAATATCTATTGAAGATATGATGTGAGAGACTCAATTGCGATTGTGATGACTTTGATCATGTGTGTAGAAGGCCGAGTGTTGCACTATTAGATGAATTGAGAGGCGGGGAGGGGACGAAGGAGAGGGAGTGGACGACCTTATTTTAAAAGGTGCAAAAATACCCCTAATGTTCATATAAATGAGCAAATTTACCCTTATTGACTTTAAATAAATAATACGGAGTATAAATTTAAAAAAACAAAAATAAATTATAAATTTTGAAATTGAGAAGTAAAAAAAATTAATGAGTTAAAAACAAATATTTTCTTTTATGTTAAAATATTAACTCATTAATTTGAAATGGCAAACTTATTATTTTTCTATTGTAAATGAAGCACTTCAAATTCATAAATATTAATTTTAGTCTTGTTACAAAATTTCGAACACATTGTTACATTGTTTGATATAACATTCTTTGGTTTTGTTTAAACTTAATACAATTAAATTGAATCTTTTGTATCTTGGATTATTTATCATCAAACAAAATATGTAATTTTATAGCGCAAAGAATACAAAAAATTAATAATTTTTTTTACATTGTAACACATAAGTTAACAATTTTCCGAAAGAATCATAAATATATAGTAAAGTTTGGAAACAAATTTTCACACTAACAATATGAAGTTGTGATATAAAAATAATAAAAGGGGGAATTGGACACAAGTAGATTTTTAAAATTTTCAATTTCGAATTTCAAATTTATAATTTATTTTTGGTGTTCTTTAAAATTTATTTTATTTATATAATGTCAATAAGGGTAATGTTGCTTTTTTATAGGAACATTAGGTTTTTTTCACCTTTTAGAAGTTCAGGGGTATATGTGCACCTTCACATATACTTCAGGGGTATATTTGTACTTTTTACCTTCTGATAATCTTGTTGCTACGGTTTTTTTATGACATGACGAAATGAATGTGATGGGATACAATTTTGTCAATTAAAATCTTATTGCACTTTATTTGAAAATTCCTGTATGAGAGTGAGACACTACAATTTGCGTGAATGAAAAGATTTGAAGTAAAATGTTGTGAATATAATGTATAATAAATCTGTTTATTTAAATTTGTGTGGTTATCATTATTGTTTATGCTCACATGCTAATAATTGAATGATATATGTGAGGTTATGTAAAGATTTTTTACCTTTTATTTTCATGCACCTTTCTCTATGTATTTAATTTCTTTAACAGGTCAACTTATGCAAATACTTTCCGTGATTCAAAGTATGCTCGTGAAAGAGAGTTTCTGCAAGCTGTAAGAATTATGATATTATTAGAACCATGACATTATCTTTAAGGTGATAGAAAACATATTAAAGAAACTCATATACATAATAAAATCCAGTATTGTCGAATGTGTATGTATGATAAAATTAAGTTTTACATATGATATGAAGAAGTTATATGATAAACCACCTAAGGAAAATCTTTGGTGAGCTTTGAATTTAAAGTAGTATCTGAGAACTATTGCCTATTAGGCATAATGAAATATATGCCTTTATAATACACACACACACACACACACACATACACGAAAGTTCATGTCCGGCCAGGCCGGACAGGACCCTGGTCCGGCCACCTCAATTTGCGGTGGTTTTCGGTGGTATTTTTTGCTGAAATTTTTGGTGTATGTTCTTCATCAAGTCTAGTTCATCCATACCAAATTTGAGCAAAAAACTCAATCGGGAAGACAGTCAAATGATTTTTGAAAGATAACTGCGTTTTATATGTATATTTCGGCGCAGTAAACTTCCAAAAATCATTTGACAACCTTTCCGATTGAATTTTTTTCTCAAATTTGATATGGATGAACTAGACTTGATGAATAACATACACAAAAAAATTCAGCAAAAAATATCATCCGGAACCACCTCAAATCGAGGCGGCCGGACCAGGGTCTTGTCCGGCCTGGCCGGACAGGAATACTTCTCTCTCTCTCTCTCTATATATATATATATATCACAGATATATATATATATATATATAGAATAGTATTCCTGTCCGGAATTTCCGGATAGGACTGCCATCCGGACACCTCATTTTGAGATGGTTCCGGGTGGACTTTTTTGATGAAATTGTGTGAGCATGTTCTCCATGAAGTGTAGATTATGTCTACCAAATTTTAGCAAAAAATTCAACCAAGAAGTCAGTTAAATATTTGTTTTTTTTAAAACGCGTCAAATATATATAAAAAAAGCAATCATTTTCAAAAATTTGTTTAACTGACTTCTCGTTTGAATTTTTAACTTAACTTAAATGGATAAATCTACTTTTCATGAAGAACATGTTCATAAAATTTTATCAAAAACTTCCACCGGGAACCAACTCAAAATGAGGTGGCCGGACGGCGGCCCTGTTTGTAATTCCGGACAGGCATATTTGTGTGCATATATAAGGTGTTAGGTACCTAGCGAGATCTGAGTTTACACAGTAAAACAACAAGTGCAGATCTGATAGATTGATAGAGAAAATAGGGTTTATTTATAGGAATAGACTCAATCGTAAGCAACAGACGACGGGACTTAGGCAACAAGGGACTCTTCGGCAACAAGGCAACAACTCTTCTTATGTCTGAGGGATTTATTAAGTCCCACGCAGGGACTGAAATAGACAAACAGACCCATTAACTGACCCCAGCCCAATTAATTGACCTCAGCCCTTAAAATTCTCCTTTCAAATACCCTAATACTATACTGAATATGCAGATTCCTAACATTACTCCCCCCCTGAACAACCACCTTGCCCTCAAGGTGGGTGATAGGAGTCAGCAATGATCTTCCTCTTGCACTTCATTATTGCACTTCTCCCTTCCCTATACCTCCCAGCTTGCTTGACCATGACCTTCATTACTTGACCTTTCATCTTCACATCTTTCACAGAAACTGGGTGTAAGAATTTCCTGGAATTACCCTTGAAGCCTTTTCCTTGTAACCCATCTCTTCATATAAAGGTTCTAAGGCAGACATGCTATGAGTTGCAGCTCGAAATGGATCAAAGAACAAACCAGTTTGAACCCTTACAAGAACACCCATACCAACTTCAACTGGTTGATCTATTCTCCGCTTCCCAGTAATTCCTTCTTGTATTATTTCTTTGATAATCCCCTCTATATCCTCTTTTTGGCCTTGGGGGTATCTATAAAACTTCAGGTTAGTTACTTCTACTCCCTCTTCAATGTTAATAGCATGGTCACACTTTCTAGGAGGAGGTAATCCTGGTCTGGGAATAAATACTTCAGAAAATTCTGCCATACTTCCTTCCCAATTGGAATCCTTAAGCTGATTTCTCTCTCCCTCCATTTTCTGCCTTCCCAGTAGATAAGATAGCCATCACCAGCATCCTGTACAATTTGTGACGTGGTTTTTAGAGATACTTTCATAGATTTTGACTTCAGGTCCCCATGAACTTAACCCCAGCTGATGCCATTTTATGCTCTGCTTTTGAAAATTGATCTCCACATCCCCCAATCCGGTCAACCAATCCATGGCAAGAACCAAGTCAGCTCCCTCCAACTCCAGCATGTAGAAATCTTGTTGAATGACAGCTCCCTGCAAGCTCAGAATTAATTGTTCACACCTGCCCTTGTTGAAGACCTTATCACCATTCCCAAGCTGCACCTTGTAGCCAACAATGGTCTGATAAGGGAGGGTTAGCTGCTCTACCATTTTTTGAGATATGAAGTTGTGTGAGGCTCCATTATCAATTAGAACATCTACTGGCTTCTCTCCCTTAGCCCATTTCAGAATCCCTTGTACCCTAAAAGCCCTCATAGAGGATGTTTCCTCCTGGTTCATGAAGGATAATTGCATGGACTTAGCTTCCATGGTGATCTTTTCATCTTCAGGGATTACCCCTTCTGAGTTATCTAATTCCTCTTCTCCTTCTGAATCTTCCACTAAAATCAGTTTGTAATTCTTCATTTTGCATGAGTGCTCTCTACCCCATCTTTCACCACATTTGAAACAAAGCCTCTTCCGGCTTCTTTCTTGGTATTCTTCTTGTGTTAGCTGTGGCCCAACTCTTCTTATGTCTGAGGGATTTATTTCTGTTCCTTTCTTCCCATCAGGAGTAAACCAAGGTGGGATCCCCCAGTTGACTGGTGCATTCCTGCCACCAGTTGGTGGCCCTGAACTTCCAGGCTTGGAGTTATAGTCTTCACCCCATACTGGTTGCCTAAAGTACCGGGGTCCCTTGTCTTTACCCTCGCTTCTTTCTGCAGCTTTACCCTTAGTGTATATAGCATTATTCTTTTGCTCAATCGCTTGAGCCCTGTCCATGGTAGCAGCTAGAGATTTGCCATTGAAGAGTTTCAGTTCAGCCTTGATTTCATCCTTGAGGCCATTGATAAAAATACCTCTCAGCATACCCCTGTCTATGTTTTTCTGTGGAGCTATAACCATTTCAAATTCATCCCGGTAGTCTGTTACAGTTCCAGTTTGTTTTAAGCTTAACATGGGTCCAAAAGGGTTATGTAACAAATCGGGTTGAAATCTGCGGATGACAGCATCCTTCAAATCTTCCCAAGTCCTTTCCTCCGCCTGTTGTTCCCACCATTGGAACCAATTCAAAGCCCTATCCTCCATAGCCACGATTGCTACCTCTACCTTGTCTTCTTCCTCAGTTCTGTTCAATTTGAAGTAGCATTCCATCCTCACTATCCAGTTGTAAGCACCTTCCCCATTAAACAAGGGTAGGTCCACCTTCCTCCCAGTGTGAACACGACGATGAGGAATGGGAGAGTGTACAGAGTTACCTCTCGAGAGCTCTGGGCTGTGGTGATCGCGATCGGTGGTGATGTGATGATCGTGATCGACGGTGATGTGGGGAACGGTGATGCGGTGATCGCGATCTCCCTTTGGACGGGTCCCTCCTGTTCTGATAAGCTGCCATGGATGTCGCGATGCTGTTCTGGATTTGCTCATTCATCGCAACAGTGAGATTCGCGATGGTAGCTCTCATCTCCCGCTCAAAGGCTTCCACGCGTTGTTCCATTTTGGATCTCGTATTTACCATCCACTTCAGAAAAAAACTAGGTTGCAGTCGCTACCTCACAACGATGCTGAAACGATAACTCTACTGCCGTCGCACTTCACTTGCGATCCCCAGGAGCAGTGATGCTCTGATACCAATGTTAGGTACCTAGCGAGATCTGAGTTTACACAGTAAAACAACAAGTGCAGATCTGATAGATTGATAGAGAAAATAATGTTTATTGATAGGAATAGACTCAATCGTAAGCAGCAGACGACGGGACTTGGGCAACAAGGGACTCTTCGGCAACAAGGCAACAACTCAGATAAAATGACAGACTACCTATTATTAGCTACCCACCTTACTATTTATAGTATTAAGTCCACGCAGGGACTGAAATAGACAAACAGACCCATTAACTGACCCCAGCCCAATTAATTGACCTCAGCCCTTAAAATTCTCCTTTCAAATACCCTAATACTATACTGAATATGCAGATTCCTAACATAAGGTGATTTACAATATGCTATTTGTTAACACATTATGTTTGTAGGTTCACGGCTGTGTTGCTGCTGGTGGGAAGGTGCTAATTCCTACATTTGCCCTGGGCAGAGCTCAGGTAGCTTAGTAATGATCCATTGTTTTATGTCATCTACTTGACTGTGTTTAGATGTCTGACATATTGTCTTTCCTTGTTATCTTCCATCAAATAATGATAGACTTGGTGCCCATTTAGGATGTTTTTAATTGGACTGAAATTTTCTGGTCTGGTATGAACTGTTCTTGTAGATGTCCGGTCTCTGTATATTTTATAACTGGCCAAGTCCGGTTTGGCACTGAAAACAGTCCAAGTAAAAACATCCATAAAGGTAATATTGAAATACCTGGGAAAGGTAATCACACATTGGCATTTACTATGAGCGATGTGAATACTTTGGTGCCTAAAAGACAAATTGCATACACGTTTTGATTTAGAGTTCATTGCTGAATTTAGAGTTCTTCGTTACAGGGGCCCTATAAATTCAACCACATACAAATTTCTCACTCAAGTTGTAATTGTAGCTGGGTAGGATAGCTCATTCTAGTCTAGTATCAAGTGAAATATCGATAGTTGTTTGTGTTCTTCAATAAAAGCATTAGAAGCTTGATGCTCCATTGCTCCATGTCTGGGTGAGCCAGATTTGATGTATTAAGTAATAAGACACTATTTGATATGGAACTCAAACATACAACGTCAAGAAATTCAAAGATTATAATAGCAATGCTTACATAGAGAAAAACGAGTCTAAGAATGGGAACCCTCATGTTTGTATTGAGGGTAAGTGTTAAAGTAAAGAAATATAGCAAGTCCTAGGTTTAGATTCAATACTCCCAGCTCTTTTGTCAACTTCAATTAGATATTAGAAAATAGGAACTCTTCATGGCCTTATTACATTTAGTATATACCAGTTCTTTACGGTTTGTGTATATTATGTTAGCTAATTTTTCTCCATAGACACCCTTAATGAGATTGTTTGATTGCCACATTTTCTGTTGTTCTACTGGTGTGCATCAGTCTGCTTTACTAATGCTGAAGCTTGTTCGTGTCGTTATCTGTCAGGAAATATGTATGCTGCTGGATGACTATTGGGAGCGTACGAATCTTCAAGTTCCTATATATTTTTCTGCAGGTTCATTATCTCTCTACCTTAACTTAATTTATTGCAATGTTGAAATGATTTCTTTTCAGCTGTATTTGTTTACATATTTTTTGAATAGCATTTTATAAGAGACACTAATGACATCCTATATTTTGGCAATCAGCACGTAAACACTTGCATACCAATATAACTGATGCATTTGGGTATTAATCTGATGCACGCGTTTTATTGTCATGCCAAATCTTAATTGTCAAAATATGTTGTTCATGGAGAATCTTTTACTTTTGAAGAAATGATTAGTGGAGATGAAAGCTTTTAAATTCAGTTTGTATATTATCAAACTAAAAGCCATGTTTTGTACTAGCTTGATTATTATTTGGATTTATGAGTTCACAGTTATAACTAATCAAGCTGAACTCAAACTAAAAAAGTTTATGGTGAAGCTATCAAGCTAATTTTGGTGGCTTATAACTCTTTGTAAACATATTTAATAATTTCCGAACTGTTATGCTGTTAATGCCAAGTCAAGCCTTGCCCAGCAAGCTTTCAGGGAGATTGCCATCTGTATTCTGTACAGTGTGTTTTTAGAGTTCGCATGTTGGTTTATGAACCTATTTGGAATGAGAATGAACTAGTCAGTGGTTTTCTTTGTGGTCCTCTGGTTTGTTACCTAATAACGAACAATAAATGCTGGAGAGCCTATCTGCAAAATGAAAGAAAAGTGGGCTGTAAAAAACGAGATAGAAGTCATTGTGATTTCCGATATGTATTTAGAACTTAAGCTCTGAATAATCTTGCACCCCATAGTGCTACTGTGTTTCATTATGTATTTAATACCTGTAGCTTAACATGGTGATGTTTCAGGATTGACTGTCCAAGCTAATATGTATTACAAGATGCTCATTAACTGGACCAGCCAAAAGGTGAAAAGCACATCCACCATATGCAATCCGTTTGATTTTAAAAATGGTAGTACTTCTAAAACTAATTGCTTGCATTGTATATGTATTATTTGTTTGGAAGCCTAATGATTAGTAAAAGTAGAACATGCAGTTTATGAAGTTTCATCATTTTGTTGTTACTATTCTTTTAAGCTTTTAATTTTTAGTATGCAGTTTTGATCGATCATTAGTTAATGCTTCTGGGCCTTGTGTACTCTTTGCTACTCCGGGAATGATAAGTGGAGGGTTCTCACTTGAAGTTTTTAAGCAGTGGGCTCCATGTGAAGATAACCTCATTACTCTTCCTGGGTAAGACCTGATGTTTTCACATTATATGATTGCCTCTGTTTGAACCATTTATTGAACTTTCACACATCATTGCTGACCAATTACGAATAACACCTTTATTGTTTGTCACTGTTGATGTCACTTTGTGCCTGGCTGCCTGCCATTTATTTCAATGATTTTAATCGTTTTAAAGTATATCTTTTTTCCCCTGATCTCATCAGATATTGTGTAGCCGGGACTATTGGGCATCAATTGATGTCAGCAAAAACACCCACCAGAATCAGAATGGAAGGAGGGACCCACATTGACGTGCGCTGTCAGGTTCTGGAGTCTGGTCTTTCCTTTAGCAATCCATTTTATAGGAAATGTTTTAAAGCTAAAATGGGTTCATATGTATAGTTTATATTTACTCTGTCTTAATCTACTCATAATATAATTCTCATGCATTTAATAGATCCATCAGCTGTCTTTCAGCCCACACACTGATGCCAAGGGAATTATGGACTTGGTTAAATTTCTTTCGCCCAAACATGTCATACTTGTACATGGCGAGAAACCGAAGATGGCATTACTGAAGGAGAGGATCCAAACGGACTTGCAAATCCAGTGTTACGATCCTGCAAATAATGAGACTGTGTGTATTCCTTCAACTCATTACATACAAGTGGATGCCACAGATACCTTTGTCAAAAGTGTGGTAACCCCAAATTTCAAGTTCCTAAATAGCAGTTCAAAAACAAATTCTAGTCTAAATGGAACCGATCCGAGGCTCAATCATGTGTTACAAGTATGTGATGACAGAGTCGGCCAAGGGGTACTAGTTATGCAGACCAACCAGAAACCAAAGGTTGTACATGAGAATGAGATGAGAGAAATGCTCGGATTAGAAAGCTATGAAGTGAGATTCACTTACTGTTTTCCTGTGGAGCTGTCTTTTTCTGAGGATGACACCAACCAAAGCTACGCTGACTTACATGTTTGGCTTCAGTTATTGTATGCAAAACTGGCAGGAGGACTCAAAGATTTGATCATTGTGAACAACAGGGAACATCTTCGAGTTGAGTCATTTGTTATTGTTGTTTGCTTGAAGGAAAAGTGCTCTCACAGAGTCGATAGTGGCAATGCCCAGTGCACATCTAAGTCGGTGCATTTTTGCTGCAGTTGGTCACTGGTGGACGAGAAGCTTGCTTGGAGAATCATCTCCTTCATGAAAAATCTGGAGCTGATAACTGCCTAAGTTGGTTTAAAAAATAGAGGAAAAAGTGCATGTGCCAATCATGTAGGCAACTCTCCGTACGAATTTGTTTCTTTTACTCTTGTCCACCCCCATTTCCAGCGCGAATAGGAAGTGTAGTTCAGAATTATTTTCTCAAACTTTTCCTACACGGCTACACCTTTTGTAAAGTAGGTAGGAAGAAAGTCCAATGTCACAGACTGTGAGGAAGTTACACAGACGGTGCCTGTGAGCTGTCGGGCTAAGGTTTAGACCTATTTTTGGTGCCAAATTGCCCCCGACAATTGTTATATCGTGGAACTGGAGTATGTGAGAACAATTGTGTCCACAATAACCTATATCGTCGGGTCGGCCGGGTTTTTCCGGGTTTTGACCATTTCTGGGTTTTTAATTAACAAAACCCGGTTTCGGTCCGATTCACCGGGTTCCCGGTCGAGTGGTTCTTTAAACATAGGTTCCCGGTGGAATATTTTGATAAAAGTTTTTGAACATGTTTTTCATGAAGTGTAAAACATCTCCACAAAATTTCAGCTTAAAATTCAATCAGAAAATCAATTAATTAAATTATTGAAACAAACTGTGCCAAATTACGCCGAACTATATATTGTTCTGGGTACCCGGTAGGTCCCAGTTTTGGGTCGGTTCGTCCCAATTTGTTTTTTTTAAAATGAAATTTTATAGATTAAAAATTGAAATGTATATTTATATCAAACACTACATTGACTTACACATGCATTATAAACTTTAAAATTTATAAAATACAAGTGAGAATAGTTTAAAATTTAAATACATGAATTGATTGTTGGAGCCGCTTCCGACGTCGGTTGTCAATTCCTTCATTTTTTTTGGATGAACTGTAAATATATATTTATCACCCAAAGAAAGTTTAACGAGTACATGTGTCCAAAATCCAAGTCTTCACCCCCAAAAAGGGGGTGAAGGTTATTCATCTAGTCTAAATCAAGCAACCAGTCGAAACAAAATGGGTGCCCAAAAACTCTAAACTAATCATCGGTGCTGCGTTTAGCATGCACTCAGATCATATCAATAAAAAAAGAAGTGATGCAAGGAGCACTCACTTGTGAGATAGATTACCTTTGAATTGAGATTAAGGATCTATATGGGTGTCTTTTTAAGGGAACTCACGGTAGAAAGCAATTGATGGAGTTTAATCCCAACTACAGGAGCTAATCTACGAAAATAAAATATTTAGACAGTGTAAGGGGTATTATCATTGAGAGAGCGGATCCCTTTTAGGTTAAGTACATGAAGTATTTATAGACATAGAGCTACAATAAACAAAGGAGACATAAACTTTACATTAAATAGGTCTAATCTTGATAGGATTTCTGTATGGCACGGAGTGTTGGGCGGTGAAACAATGTCACATTCAAAAGATGAGTGTGGCAGAGATGCGCATGCTGTATTGGATGTGTGGGCATACTAGAAAGGACCGCGTGAGGAATGAGACAATTAGACAAAGGGTGGGAGCATCACCTATTGAAGATAAGATGCGAGAGTCGCGCCTACGGTGTTTTGGTCATGTGCATAGAAGACCGAGTGATGCACCTGTCAGACGAGTTGAGATGTGTGGAGAAGAGGCAGGGAATAGAGGAGAGGAAGGCCCAAACAGACGTGGGTTAGGGGAGTCAGAAGTGATATGCTTCTTGGATTGGATGAAGGTATGACTTTGGAGAGAGCAAAATGGGGGGCGGGTATTCGTGTGGAGGAGTGATCTTGTATCATCTTTTCCCCTCTTTTTTCCCCTTTTTTCCTATTTTTTCCCCTTTTTTCTTTTTTCTTTTTATATTTTTATCCTTATATATAAATATTACTTTATCCTTTTAATTTTATCTTTTATATGTATATTCATCTCTTTTATATTATCTTTTTTTTTATAATAACTTATCTTTTTTATCTTTATTTTCTTTCTTTTCCTTTTGGTGATGTATCGATTCATGTTAGCCGACCCCAATATCGTTTTGGACTAAAGCTTAAATGTTGTTGTTGTTGTTGTAATCTTGATAGGATTTCTCTAAGATATCCTATAATTCCACATTTATTACTTCTTTATGTCCACGTCTCTTCCGTTAAATCCCCACCGCTTCCAGATAGCCATGCACGATAGATGACTTGCCACGTAAGCGCTAAGGTGAGTCCAACTTCGCTAGAGCCCCGCCTAGACTCGAGGCTCACTGATTAGGTCAGCCTTGATGTGGGCTTCCTTCGCGGGTCATGGCCCCCTTGTCATGCCCAGTTAGCTTTATTAAGTAATTAGTTAATCCTAATTAATGGGATTGGTTTATTAATCCCGTACAATGAGCTTCACGGGTGATTGACAATTGGGTTATGATCACAGTCCATGACACCATCAACAATATAATAGTACTTTAAAAATGTTTGATAATTTGAAAGTTTGAAATGAGGATCAAGACAAAAGGCAATTGATATATAGGCGGGCATAATATTTTTGAGACTTTTTTTCTTCATAAAATCACATGAGAAAAAGTTTTAGTAGTGTTATGAAAAACTAAAATGTTACATATTTGCTCCATTGTGTCGATCTCAACTGGTTCTATAATATAATTACAAGTTCTTTTTTTAAATAAAAATAGGGAAATGATATTTAAATTTAAGCACAACAACAAAATTATAAGTGCTATTCTAACGAATAGAAAGATCTTTAGGAAAAGCACAATACCTAACACATTTACATTTCAAGTAAGCACGCCATTGCATTTTAAGTTGAGTACTGTCCTAAATCATTCTAATAGCCCCCTTAACTTTCTCCATCACATTTCCTAATGCGGTTAAGCCATCTTTCACGCATAAATAAATAAAAAATAATTACATATTTATGACTAAAATAAAGATTATTTACAACAATGTGAATAGTGACTAGAGCAGCAATGAAATCATAGTAACTTATGATCAATTTTTAAACTTAAGTTAACATGACACTACATTGTAGTAACTATTAGTCATATTTTTGTAAACACATTTTATTTCAGTAATAATTATGTGAAAAAACCAATTAATAATGTGACATGCACAACGTGGATGAAAAAATCTACTTATCAAAGTAGAAGAACCACATAATTTATGTAATCTAGGTATAGACGTACATCAACAGTATTAGTAGCATTATCAAAACCAATAGAAAACACTTTATTAATCAAATTATATTCACTTAAAATATGTTCCATATTTTGTGTCTTTCATTAAAATCTCGAAAAACGATAACTCGTTTATGCATTTGTCAATCATCATCAATTCAATGTACATTCACACCCAAATAATACAAGTGATGATATGTATCTTCCCATATATCACTACAAACAGTCACATGCCCAATAAAATTTACAAAAAATGAATTGATATTACCTTTTCCAAAAGTTATTGTTCAATAACTTGTCTTTTAATTGTTTTGCGCGTATAGTTTCTAAATTGTGGATTTATAGAACCTTAAACATAAGCTTATAAAGTAAGACTTTCAGAAACAATAAAAGACAAATTTTCTTCACAAATTTACTCAGACATAGATTTTAAATGTTGCTCATCATTATAAACGAAATTACTGAAGGGTTGATCATTTGTGAACCTCGATATTTGTGTTTGCCCACCCTTTCCCTTCACTCTTGCCGCTTTTGTACGGTGCCTCACATTCAAGTGCCTTGTTACGGTGCCGTAGCCCGCTGACACCCCCATGTACAATACTTGTGGACAATGTTTGCGATTTGCACACCACTTTCCGTCCTCCGGATTCTTGACCTTGTCAAAATGATCTATAAAAAGATGAGATTTTAGTTTGAATGACTTACCTTGTTGGGCCAGTTGGATGAAACGGCGCAGGTGCCTTTCTCCTCCTAGTCGGGGGTATCCCCGCCGCCGCCTTGTTGTTTCTCCTCGTCGTCCTCTAATTCTTCATTAATCTCAGGAAGGTTTTCTTGTTGCAAGGATAACAATAATCTTAAAGACCAAAGAATGTTTCTTCTCAGCTCACAATAACTCATGTCCATGGCCAACACCCGGTGCTTCGCATAATCTTGAAATTTTTGGCTAATAGCATTCTTGGGCGCTCAAACAACCATCACACAAGGATGGGTGATGTGTGCTTCTTGACCATACCCAAAATGCATCTGCAACCCCCTTTAACTTGTGCAATTTGATGGGGGCACATCTAAAAAAAGAATGCACCGCAAAGGGGAACATTTGGGTGGGAGGAGTAATTATGAATTTGGCCACAAAATTCGGCTATACGGATCCTCGACCTATAACCGATTACTGCTTGATGGACTTTGATTATCTAGGCAATGCCCTATGCACCTCCCATTCCCATTATGATCATTGAGGTAAGGACTACTACAAGTGGACTATTCATCCTAGGCCTTTCCGATATTTCACCTTACCCTCCGATGACCTACCTCCACTTATCTTCACCGAGGATATGAGCCATGTACGCCACTACTTATTAGCCAATGCCATAACTCCACACCTCCAAGATCATGTAGATGATGTCCAAGCCGATCAACTGGAAGAACATCACGAAGCTATGAATGAGGGCGTCCCCGACCCACCTCAAAACCCACCTCACAACCCTTCTCCAACCGACTATTTCCAACAACTTCTAGCCGGGTTCCAAAACATGAGCACGGACTGCAAGAACATGGGGGCTCAATTTGACCATCTTAGGCAAGAAGTTAGTCATTATCGTGAGGAACAAAGAGCGGGATTTCAAAGATTGGAGGAGCAATGCCAAGCGGACAACCAACGGTATGAGGAAGATCACCATAGGGTGTATGGTCCGATGTACTCCTACACAGCTCACCAAGCCTCTTATCATGCTATGGCCACCCCACCTCCACCACCATCATGGTATGACCCCACTCAATGGGGTAGCTTTGGCGGGTCGAGCACCGGTGGTGGGGGCTATGATGACGGATTATGAGGGGATGCCATTATGGGTGACGGAGGCACCAACGGCGGCTACTATGGTGGCGAGGGCGGGCACTAGGGACTGCTTGAATTGAGAAGGGGGAGACTCCTCATTGGTATGTAAATTTCCTTTTTCTGATGAGCATTACACCAATATTATCAAATGATGAGCATGGCGATAAAGCAAAGGTAAATGGGTGATTGCTCTACCATAGAATTAGAGTGAGCAGTCTTGTGGTCCTGAAGAAAAATCACCCCATCCTCACCGTCGCGACCCTTTCCAGCGCCACTATGGATACTGTCACTAGTTGGAAATGCTCGGTTGATCAGAAGAATCAGCCTTCAAAATTCAATTGATTTTCCGGCCGCAGTCATCTGGCTGCTAGTGTCCGGCGGACTGGTCCCTGACGGCTTTGCCGTTTCTAGGGTTTTTGATTTTTTGGCTGCAGTCATCGGGCTGATAGTGTCCGGTGTGGGTGCCTTTTTGTTTACTTTGTTGTGGGTTAATTCTAAGTTTTCTTTTTCTGTCTTCAATGAAGATCCTTTCCTGGAACTGTAGGGGTATTGGGAATAAAAGGGTGATAC